ACAATACCAATCGCGAAATAATAAAACCAAAGATTCATCCAAAAATAGGTTGCTAAAAATCCAGCTGCAGCAAGACAAGCTCCAACTATTGTCACCCGTCGATATCCATATCTATTTGTAAATATCGTTGCAATAGGTCCTTAACATTTACTATTACATAAAAAAAAAATTATCTTGAAAGAAAAATCCTTTACCTGTCGCTTGTGTTATTGCTGGTAAAATTCCAAAAATAGTTGAAACAGGTCCTCGAGTTTTATTTAAATTATCCATCATAGGACGTAAAAATACATCACCCATTGAATATGTTATTCTATTATTTAAAAAAAATAATGATTTACAGAATATAATTTACTAACCCATCCATTATAAAATGTATCATAAAAGATGCAAATACAATAATCCATCCCCAACCACCATCGGGCGCAATAGCTCCAGGAACTCTATTGTTTGTATTACCATCACTTGTCATTTTTAGTCTTCTATTCTGAAAGAACAAAATAAAAATAGGAATAAGTTAAATGGCAAGACAACGATGCTTCATCAATGTTGAGTAACTATTTTGCTATTTTTTAACGAGAACAATAAAATGATTAGATAACAACCACTTGCTATCTTTATCAAAAAAAAACACACAAAACGATGTAAAAAATAGATATGCACGTATCTTTATCAACTCCGCATACGTATTGACGTGATGACAATAATTTATGGCATAAACAGTCATTTTCCTCCTTTTTTTTTAAACTCCTTTCCCCCTGCCCATTTGTCTCTCCTTCTGCTATAGTTTTACGCTAAATACACATTTTTTAGTCGTTATTGATCTATTCTCTACAATCATGTTTTGATGATGGTGTGATTAACATCGTGTAATCGTATTTCCCTCCATTTTATACTCATCTCTATTCTCCTTTTTTGTTCCTACCTCATTAGTAAGCACTTCAGAATGTCACACATAATACACACAAAATCAAAAAACTCTGCGTAGATATTTGAGCGTAATACATGTTTCTAATCTTTCGTCGTTATTCAAAGTACAAGAATGAAAAGAAACGATTACAATAGAAAAAAGAAATATCGAAAGATTAGTTTCAAAATAAGAAAAACTTTTTTTGTCATTCAAAGAAAATACGAACAATCTGATTTTCACATTAATTTATAACCATAACACCAATACTCACTTCCAGATCTTTGGCAGATTGAAGCAGAATTCTGTCCGAATTTTCTGTTTTATTCCTGCGGAAACAACTGAATCCTGATAGAACCTTGTAACCGAGAAATATTCAAAATTTTTCAAGATTTCCGACAGGATCCCAAATAGTTTCTCACAGTATCTGAATCAGGATTTCAATTATTCCCGATCAAAAAAATGTTTACTATCAACAATCGAAGTTTTTTTATGTTTCTTGAAAGAAACTTAACAGGATTATGTCAAGATGTGATTGAGATCTTAGTAGGATCTAAACGACGGAATACTAAAGGAATGGACATATAGAGTATTGATCTGTAGATCTTCAGTTTATGAACCGAATAAATCATCCAGTTGAATTGTTCCATGTCATCAACAGTGAACTAAACTGAGATTGGGTATTAGCCAAGCTCAAAAACTTTAAAATTTCGTATGAATTTCTTTCAAATGTCTACATTCTAAAATTGATGCATCATTAAAAATCTCCTTTACAAATTGCGAATAGCTTGTTGAATTAGCCATCTCGAACTCATTGAGAATAAATTTTTGGAAAAAATTTTCGGCACTTTTCCTCATGCATCGCGAAAATCGAAGAAACTTCTCTACTATAGAGTAACCTTGTGTTCTGAATTGACAAGTCAGTCAGCTATGCAATACCTAATTACTATTTAGTATTCTCTTTGAATAATACAGGTTCAGCGTACAGTTTATTATTTCACCGACGTCGTATCGATTCTGCATAAATTGCAAGAATCATAAAGAAAGCCAGTTCTGCGCTCTTGGTGCACGAGAGGACCCAATATGTTCCCTTGGATGTTAACAAAACTTTTGTCTCGGCATTTTACTTATCTGCTTATTACTACTATAGAACAGGACTCATTCGAACCACCGTATCTTTTACTAATCACGATATAATTTAAATCCTTCTAAAGACATACAAAGGAGTGGTATTGATCCACAAAAATCGATATCATTATGTGCTTAGAATATATTCAGTTATACAGAGTCTCATCATCTGAGCACATAGTTGGAATGAATATTTTGAGTGAGAGTGAAGTTGTTTCACTGGCTGCTATAGTTTGTATAGTCGTCTTTGGAGAAAGAGAAACTATGTCTCTCTATTTATCTGACTCACAAAAAAAATAAAATTTTGTACACTGTTCTCAGGCATTGTGTACATAGTGACGGTCGTAGTGATTTACCCTAAACAAACCACTTATAATTTTCTGCATATGTCTTTTAAATAAATATAAAAATGACGACTATATTTTTCTTTCTGTATATTGACTCATAATTTAATTTCATTCCACTCCGTGACCCACTCAATTATTATGGTTTCGCTTTTACTCTAAAGAATTGGGGAAAATTGCAAACTTTTATTTTTTTTGTGAGTCAAATAAACCGAGAGATACTGCTTCTCTTCCGCCATAGAAGACTATATAAACTATCGCAGACAGCGAAACAACTTCATTCTCACAACACTCATTCTACTCTTCAAACAACTTATAAAACCTTCGATCTTAAAAATAAAGCGTAAATTTCAATCGATAAACATGTCATCAAACGACGCACAAAAGGTTATGGAAAATGTTGCATCAGTTGCAGCAGGTCAACCACATGGAACTGGCTTTGCAAATTCGGTAAAGGATATCGATGTTGGTGAAATACTGCACGAAACGGGAGCACGAGTTGTTGCAGCTCTAAAAGGTGATTTCCAAACAGCATTGAAACCTGAAACGAATTAATGTGGCTCATAGATCCATCAAAAAGCGGCAGTACACAAAAATAGACTCATTCTCTTCTCTATGATAATCATGAATGTTATTTAATCACTTTTTTCCAAGGGGGAAACAGCAGACTCCGGGACTCCAAAATGATACAATTATTTGCAAAATCCCTCAATCTGTTTTATCATAGAAATACT